AAGCAAATTTAAGCAGATAAAAAAAAAACGTCTATATGTCATCAAGATGGCTTTATTTAGTTGATTTTAGTTATTATTATGACATATTATTCCTATCGGTTACTATTGATCAGTAACTTTGCTACTATATCAAGAATGGAGGTTTTTTTTTTTTTTTAAATTTCAAATCATCCGGATTACTTAGAACCACTAAGACTTTTTTGAGCTTCTTTAAACCATAATATGAATTGAATAGTGTCAGTAATTTCAAAAATTGTTTCTGTTTATTTTCCAATGAACTTAAATATGTTTGAAATGAAATCCTTTCACATGCATTGTGATATTTTTAAGTTGTCAGCAATCTTTTCAAAATAGAATAAGCATTACAACAATGAATATTATCGAAATAAACTAATATATAAAGGTAGATAATGAAGTTTTTCTTATTATTATCTTTATTTTTGATTAATAAATGACAGACATACCAATATCATTTCATTTTCATTCAAATATAAAATTTGAATAACAATGGAATAAAGCTCAGCTAAATCTGTAACTGGATTATAGAGAAAAAAAAAGAAAAAGTAGAGAGAATAATGTACTATGTTTCCTCAAATTCCGAAATTGAGTTAACAGATTTGCTTTTAAATGAATGCAACACCTATTCTGTTTGTTGCTTGTCGAAAGTTGAATTTTGTTATATTCTTTGATTTGAATTTTAATACTGTTCACATCCTTCATTTCTAGAATTTCCATTTAGAAATAAGAAATTTGAGGCTTAGAATATTATTTAGTAAAATTTTTGCATTGCGTCTTATTTTATGAGGCATAAGATGTAGTGCAGACCTGAATTATCCTAATGCAATTGCCCACTGTTTAATGATAATTCCCTGCGGTTATCTTAGTTGGTGTTTGTAATAGTTTCCCAGAAATAATTCAATTTTTGCTGATCAAACTTTTTATAAACATCATTTCTATTACACTCTTTTTCTGCTATTCCTTAAGAAAGAGTTCATCATCCTCACCAATACTACTTTATTCCACATTTTTCCCACTTAATGACCTGTTATTTACCCGTATTACTTGTAGATGAAAACATAAGCTTAGCTAAAAAGAAAAAAAATTAGACATTTTCTTCAAGTTTTAATGCTTTTATCACTTCATTGTTAATTTTATCCATTTACCGACTTACCATTGGTTTACCTATTGTACATTTACTTAACCTTACATACGGTTGGTCCAATTAACCCAATTTTTTTTCTTCATTTTGTTGATTTATTTGAATGAATTAGAACAATTAAGTAGTAGTTAATACTCTGAAAGCTGAATGATCAGAGCTTTCATTTAATACGTCATTAATTTTTCAAACTTATACAGTAAGCAGAATAAATGATGCTTATAGTTTTGTTGCTAATCTTTTTCATAATTCGTTGCCATCTTTCAACATGTATTTAACACAAAAAAAACAAAAACAAAGACATATAAGAAATTAATATGAAAATTGAAAATTGCATGTTATAATATTTGAAACAGTAAAATTTGATATAAAAGAAACAAATATTATTGTCGAAAAGAAATGAAAATCAATTTTTGACATGCAATTTTTTAAAGTCAAACTATAGCTAGTTATACTGCATGATGATGTATCATTTCATTCAAGAAAATAGTTAGAAATGATGACCTTAGACCCGTATGATAATGCAAGTATCATGAGAGGAACTGAGAATTCTCATTAAGTAAGTAAGGGAGAACAGTTAATTTCTATGTCCAAATTGAAATTTGCCTACTTTTCGAAAGTTATTTAAACTTCTTGTTCATGGTGATTTTATAATGTGATAATAATATGAGTCTATAAGCAACTAATTATTAACATTGGCTACTTGCTGCGGAGATATACTTCAGACAGAGTAAAAGTAAGCACGAAATTATTTGAAATTTCCTCTTTTTTTTTTCTTTTTTATTAATAAGAAAGCTGTAAAAAAATTATTTCAAATTATACTTTGATCCATAAATAAATACAAATAAATTTAATATTGAAATATGAAATTCATTAAGTATCGACTTTCTGAATCTTAATAAAATCACTTCTCTTGCAAATTATACCAACAGATCAATGAGATGCACAGGAAATTGCTACGGTTTTCAGCAGAAAGGTCTTAATTCATCTGGAGGACGAGTTTGACTACTACTCAGAGAATCAACGTTTCAAAAATTGGAGGAATTGATTTAAAAATTTTCTGTCATCCTCCATTTTCACCCGATTGTTGTCATCTTAATAACTGTGTGTAAGGATAAGCAATGCTACGATGGATGAGATACTTTCCGGAAGTTTCGTCGGTACGATGGATGAGATACTTTCCGGAAGTTTGTCAACTTTCGAAAGATGTATTCATATGCTACAACAACAAAAATATTAATTCCTTATTGGAAAGAATGTATTTATTGTCATGGATCTTCTCGTGACCAATATGTGCGCCCAAAATTCAATTTAAAAATTCAATTTAAAACTGTAATTAGTTTTGCGCCAATGTCATAAATTGCTTCAACTGGTCTAAACCACCTTTCATTCTTATTTGCCAAGAAAAGAAAGCAAACTAACGAATTTAACATTTAATATTAAAAACACAAATCGTTTTTTACCAGCTTTATTTACTTAAATAAAAACACCATAAAAAATTTCTGTTAAATTTTTTACTTCTAATTTGTACCAAATCAAACATTACATCGTCTTTCTCCTTAGTGTCTAATCAAACTATGCTTCCCAGAATTAAGCATATTTTTATTTTTTTACAACTTATTTTTCAATCTTAAAAATGACATACATACATTTATAAAATCAACTTTTGAACAATTTAGAAAACTTGTGGGGAAGATTATTTATTAACTGAAAGAAATACAAGAGACTTTCAAGCATCTGTTTCAAATGTTGAATTGCAATTCGCTCATATTCTCATTTTTTAATTTAACATTTCACAGCTGTGTTATCTGGCTTTAAAATTTCGCAAGCAAAAAAAAAAAAAGAAAGAAAGAAGAAAAAACACGGTATATATATTTTTTTTTTTTAATTTTAAAAAGTTTTCCATCTTGCAGAGAAAAAAAATATGCATCGGATGTGAAAATTTATGTCGGAAACCTGATAAATAATTTAAAGTCGCACTTATTAGTAAGAAGGAATGCTAAATTCTTTTCTCTTTGCTTATCTATTATCAGAACAAGTAATTGATCGTTAGAGATGAAGAAAAAAAAAAAAATTTGTTTTTCAATTATAAATTGTTAATAAATCTTGACATAAGTGCATGCACATATGGAGAAATTAAATAGCCATCTCCTCTCTCCATTACTCTTAGATCATTTTTGCTTTCCCTCTTAACCTTCTCCTTTTATTATACGACTTTTTGTTTAGTGATTCTTTTGTTGTCATATTTTTCATAAATCCTTGTCCATTTTGCATCATCTCTTAATCACTTTCTTTTTTTTTTTGTAAAATTGAAAAGCATTAACATTTTCTATAAACTATTTAATGGGATATTTGAAGATTTCACAACGAAATGTTCGAAAATAAGATAAGCACTGCGGTAAGCTTCATTTCGAACTTCCTGAAATATTCATGATTATCTGAAATAGCAAGTTAAATCAGGATGTAAACATGAATGCAAGAATTGTTAGTCCCTTGTAGATAGAATGACCAATGAGTGTATACTTAAATGAGGAAAGGATGTGCTTATCGGTTTGTTTCCAAAATTACCACATTTTTTTATACTGATCTCACATGATTCTTTTTTTTTTTTTTTATTTTTTTTTTTTAAGGAAACTTTTTTTTGCATTTTAACGAAAGACAAACTGACGAAATCAAATTAAGCAAATCCATTTCCTTTTAAATTAAATGGAATATTTTTTTTTATCATAGTCAAACCACTTTTCCTGTAATGGTATTCAATGAGATATGTATGTATTCTGTCTATTTTTGCATGATAATGTGTTTCATTTTCTTTTCTACCAGAATTAAGCTTTCCATCAGAAAGTTCTTACTCGTTAAAACGACCTTGATAATTGATCATTTTTTTTTTGCAGTGCTTCAAAATTGCATCATATTTGAACAAAATACTTTTTTATTTATTTATTCTTTAAAGATTTATTTATTTTTTTTTGATACACTACTCATTTAGCGCCATATTTGTTGCTATCTAATTAATGTTTTCCTCAAAATCTTTGAAGTGGCACTGTTACAAATTCAAGACTTAAAATCAGTAAGTTAAGTATTATCATCCATTCTTTTTGAAACTTTGCACAGTTATCACTGGAAGGGCTCACAAATACTGAAGAATATCATTTAAAGCTAAGGCTAAATGAACGATTGGAGATTGCAATCACAAAGCCAAGTTGCATTTTTAGAAAATGACCTTTCCGTCATCCTGAATTACCGGGTTAGATACCTCGAAGTGCATCAAAATTTTTAAAGCGAACTTCTGACATAGCTTTTGACCTTATATTTAAGCTAGTGTTCTAGTAATTAAACCCATTGTTACCGGATGAATTACATTTCAAGCATCGAGGATGACTTGGTGTCTGTTGATGCAAATCCATTACTACTTTATCATTTGAACTGAAGATTTTTCTGCTAATGGCAAATAAGACAAATATATCAAACTGGAATTAAACTAGAAGTATTTATTACTAACTATGAAATTTAATGATTCAAATATCTGAAGTAAAAAGCAAGTCAGAAATTATCATTATCAATTATATTAACATTCACTCAACTATTTTCTCATCATCGATGTTTTGATTTTAGCTTAATTTAGTGCATAAAATACAAACAAACATTATAATATGATCACAATCAAACATATCTGATAAACTCGTAGAATATTCTCTCGAACTCGACTAAGCAAAATAAAGAATACAGTTAAGCAACCAAATTTTCACTCCAAATGAAAGAATTAATATCTGCTATCCTTTCATTGTCATTATCAATAGCAATGCTTGTAATTATCATCATTTCACTATCATCAATATCACTATCATCCAGCATTTCCATCATTTTTTGCCTTAGCACTGTCACTGTTATCCCGAATCCTGCATTATTAACAGTCGGAAAATAAAAAGAAAAAAAATATTTGTTTTGGATGAGTACTATTTACTTTTAATTAGACTACCGACTACCATTCAGTAAACAGAAAGCATTTAAAAAGTAAATAGTTCGTTTGTTTTTAAAAAATCCACTAGACCTGAAATACTTAAATTATTTCAGGAATTCTGAACCTGATAATTGAAATTAGTTGTAAATTTTGAGAGAAAAGAAACTGAAAGAAAGGCTTACAGCATATGATTTGATAAGAAATTTTCAAAATTTTTACAATGCGACAAAGCCATCGAATAACCATTTCCGAAAGAAAAAGCTGCTAGTGTGTGCTTATTGGAGTATCAATGCCGAATTCTATCTTCTTTTTTTTTTCTTTTTCAATGATACATATTGATTAAAGATTACTTCAATTGCACTGAAAGTAAGCTCATATGGCTTACATACCTTTCACAAAATCTGCATCTGTTCATTTATTGGGATTATGAACATTTTACCATTCTATTTTTTTGTTATTTTAAAATTCTTCAATTTTTAGAAAAAGAAATTCTTTCTACATTTTAAGAAAAATTTACAGACATTGCTTGAAGAAATTCGATCAATTATGGACGATTATTTTAATTTTCATGATTCTCTGACATTCATTTGCATTTGTTAATTAATATTGAATTCGTGATGTAAGCTATGTGCTCCTTTCATGAAGCATTTTTTTGCTATCAGAATGTCATTTTTGTAATATAACCGATTTCATGAATTATGAATTGTGTTTCTGTGATTGACAACTACTGGTAACAAATGGATTTTGAGTTTGAAAAAGAAATTATTGTCAACGATCTTCTGTATTTGTGAAAAAATTTTTCAATAATTCTGGTTTCGCATCTGTGTCAAGGTGGTAGCATTTAGAGTTTATAGCAATTTTAATCCTATGAATAATTTTTGGCCAATGTATTTTTTCATATTTGCTCAAAATGAGTCTAACAATTATCCATTTATCCATTTCAGGCTAATTAGCACACTTTTTCACTTTGCGAAATCACGAGTTCTTAAGGATAAGAATGTAACAATATAAATGATAATAAGTGATTTTAATATAGCATTTAATCGTTTTTCCAGTCACAAATTCAAAATATTCTTACTGTTAGCTTTTTTGTTTACATCAGAATTAATTAAACATTTAATATTTTGCACAAACTTAGCTCTATTTAGCTAAATAGAGCAATTAAGTTGAAAATTTCTTAAATATAACTTTCGAGTATGACGAGAAAACAGTTATTTAGTAATATGCACTTAGAATTAGTGGTTTCTTTTTATACCTCATTTATTTTTTCATAGCTTCTCGATAAAAACATGCCGTAAGCTCTCTTATTTCCTTTCTTCAGAATAAATCTTAATAAATAATGAAAATAACTTTAATGCGCTCTCAACGCGGTAATTTCTGCTTTCTGTTATTTCCATTTTCTTATCATAACTATTCAAATGATTCTTTAACAAATCGATTGGAGAAATTGTCATTTCTAAAGCAGCTGTTATTTAGAATTTTTTTAAATCATTTCTTTTAATATTGACAAAATAGTTTCAGCAATATTTTTGCTTTATCGATTACTATCAGCGATTGATCATAGAAACTTATCACTAGTATCTATTCCCAAACATTTTGCACTTTGAAAATAGGAAGCATATTGCTGTGCTAATGAAGGAATTCTTCTTTTTCCTATCATATGTTCACAAAAGTTTTTTGCAATTACGAGTAAAGATTTAAAATTAAATTCCAAAAACAATTATAAATTATAATTCTTTGCCTTCTTTTGAATTGCTCTGTAAATTCTTTTTATTAGCACACTAGTTGATCTAATTTGAGGTATTGATTTCGGACTGAAATTAGACCATTTATAATAAGAAAAAATGAATGAAGAAAAAATGCATTAATGACTTAAATGGACTTAATTTTTGTTAAGAATTTAATGATTCATTTACATTATCGCGTCAAAATTCCCCGATTTTGCTTTTTTTCAATTCGTGAAAATAATCAATCTAAAAGGGTCTGTAAAGTAACCAGTTTAAAAGCTTTCACTTTCATCTGGAAAATATATAAACGGAGGAAAGCATGCAAGAGTGAATGTAACAGAAGTACGGAAAGAGAGAGATTCGGAAAAGGGATGCGAAAAGGAAAAGGAAAACGAGACGAGACGAGACGGAAACACGGAAGGGACGGATATCTCACCATTTGAATTAAAATGTTTTCAGGATAATCGTATTCAGTGCTAATTGATGAAATAAATGGAACGTAACGCACAAATCAGACTCTGTTATTGCTTGTATTGTGTTCAAGAAAAGAATTTCTTTTTTTAATTTTTTTGATTTCATTTTGAGATTACAGAATTTAAGTGCAAATGCATCATGCGCACATGCTTGCAAATATATGTATATATATATATATATATATTATATAGATTAGATAGATAGATAGATAGATAGATAGATAGATAGATAGATAGATAGATAGATAGATAGATAGATAGATAGATAGATAGATAGATAGATAGATAGATAGATAGATAGATAGATAGATAGATAGATAGATAGATAGATAGATAGATAGATAGATAGATAGATAGATAGATAGATAGATAGATATAGATAGATAGATAGATAGATAGATAGATAGATAGATAGATAGATAGATAGATAGATAGATAGATAGATAGATAGATAGATAGATAGATAGATAGATAGATAGATAGATAGATAGATAGATAGATAGATAGATAGATAGATAGATAGATAGATAGATAGATAGATAGATAGATAGATAGATAGATAGATTAGATAGATAGATAGATAGATAGATAGATAGATAGATAGATAGATAGATAGATAGATAGATAGATAGATAGATAGATAGATAGATAGATAGATAGATAGATAGATAGATAGATAGATAGATAGATATAGATAGATAGATAGATAGATAGATAGATAGATAGATAGATAGATAGATAGATAGATAGATAGATAGATAGATAGATAGATAGATAGATAGATAGATAGATAGATAGATAGATAGATAGATAGATAGATAGATAGATAGATAGATAGATAGATAGATAGATAGATAGATAGATAGATAGATAGATAGATAGATAGATAGATAGATAGATAGATAGATAGATAGATAGATAGATAGATAGATAGATAGATAGATAGATAGATAGATAGATAGATAGATAGATAGATAGATAGATAGATAGATAGATAGATAGATAGATAGATAGATAGATAGATAGATAGATAGATAGATAGATAGATAGATAGATAGATAGATAGATAGATAGATAGATAGATAGATAGATAGATAGATAGATAGATAGATAGATAGATAGATAGATAGATAGATAGATAGATAGATAGATAGATAGATAGATAGATAGATAGATAGATAGAATAGATAGATAGATAGATAGATAGATAGATAGATAGATAGATAGATAGATAGATAGATAGATAGATAGATAGATAGATAGATAGATAGATAGATAGATAGATAGATAGATAGATAGATAGATAGATAGATAGATAGATAGATAGATAGATAGATAGATAGATAGATAGATAGATAGATTAGATAGATAGATAGATAGATAGATAGATAGATAGATAGATAGATAGATAGATAGATAGATAGATAGATAGATAGATAGATAGATAGATAGATAGATAGATAGATAGATAGATAGATAGATAGATAGATAGATAGATAGATAGATAGATAGATAGATAGATAGATAGATAGATAGATAGATAGATAGATAGATAGATAGATAGATAGATAGATAGATAGATAGATAGATAGATAGATAAAGATAGATAGATAGATAGATAGATAGATAGATAGATAGATAGATAGATAGATAGATAGATAGATAGATAGATAGATAGATAGATAGATAGATGGATAGATTCATCCAATTATTTTGAAATGGGTCGTATTTTAATTATAAAATTTGAAATGTTTCAGACTAAAATTTTTAGATAATATTTATAAAAATAAAAGAAAGTAAGTTAATAATTTAAAAATTTGTTTGCAAAGAAAACCGTATTATGACTACAGGAAGGATTACTTTGGCAATCAGCATAACTGCCAATGATTGCAAAAATTTTTAATTGCTCTTAAATATTACGTCAAATTGTTTTATTTTTTGCTAATATAGGTAATGGACGATATGAACGGAATTTCTCTTGAAAGAATTGAAAATTCACTATGACTTTTACTATCTTTTAAAATATTCCATCAAGCTATCTACCATCTTGATAATCAGTTGCAAATATTAGCTTTAGCCTGGCATAAATCTTTATCAATCTTATTTAGCAATTCTAATCAATCTGTTATCAGTAGTACTCTTATTAGTCAAGATGTACCAGTTTGATTGCTGCTAAGGTTATTTCATGAAGAAAAGAATTGGATGTGAAGAATTGAAAAAAACTTATGGAATAAAGTATCTGTTTTTCTCTTTTTTTTTAAAAAAAGCACTTTAATACATAAATCTAATAAAAGGATTTGTTTAAACTAAATGGCTGAAACCTTGAAAGCATAAAGTAAGATGAAAAATATTCATAAGAAATCCTCAGCACATCATTTTACCATTGTTTACTTTTCTTTAACCTTTCTTAAACTAAGAAGCGAAAAATCAATTGTGTAAAAATCATTTAGTTTGATGTTTCCGCTTGTCACATTGTCACATTGTATTATCGAATTTGCCCCATAGTTTATCTATTTCTAATTTTCTTTGATGTATCAACATTTCAGTCTTACCATAGCACCACCTTTATCCATTTCAGAAGTTTATTAACAGAGCTAAATAGCCAATTCATTTTCAAGCATTCAAAGTTTGATCTCAAATCTAAATGTTACTTTTGGCCGTAACAATAAGGTCACATTTTCAAATAAATATGTTTGGTTCTTATTTGAAAATAACTTTGATTAAAAGTCATCAAATATAAACATTTGCATAAATTATAATAAATATTTTATTTGATTTTTTTAGTCCATTTTTACTTCTGGTCCTCTTTTGTAATATCGAGATTACAATTTTACTTGATTAATGTTAGGACGGTAAACATAATCGATAAAAATTTGATACTTCAAAATTTTTAAAGTTCAGATTTATCTTATTAATTTAATTGATGAAATGAATTAATTCTTGATAGGAATTGTACTTAGAACTTGAAAGTTTCTTATTGGAAGGAAAAATTGTTATTTTCTACCAGAAGAAACGATAAAATGACAAGGATCGATTTAGACGATGATTATTCCTCTTTCCGTCATCCTTGGAGAGTCCTCTATGACATCCATAAGTGTTCCGTAGCCGTTCTCTTTCACTTCTTATTTTTTTTATTGGTTGCAGCATAATTCGGTTTCTATGATGGCCACCCCCTATTTTATTTATGAAGATAGTGAAAATTTCCTTCTTTCTACTTTTCATCCTCACACCCTTCCTTCGAAAAGTTGAGACTTTCCCTGAGAAATGGGTAAGGCCATTTTTTTCAGATTAAGCCTACTCACCTGATGGATAGACAACCAGGCAAATATGGATTTCAATAAATACATATGTCCAAGATAGGCAGTCAAACTGTTTGTTAAGCATTTCTCGTCGACATGTTAGGAGTTCAAGACCTCAGCAAATAGATGGATAGGCATATAGCCAACTGAATGTTTCAAACCCAAGTTGGTTAGGTTTGTCACCCATTCTCATTTCAATTCTCTTTTTTTCCTTTTACAGTTTTTTATTCTACTATCATTTTTTTTTTTGCATATATTCCGTCCGTATTTTGTTTTTCTTCTTTTTTAATTTCGGGAAAGAAAGAGATATTTGATTGGAATATTTGTGCTATATCTCATAAATGAAATTATTATGATTGGAATGATTCGGTAATCGTACTGTCTACTGATGCAGTATTGATCAATTTTTTCGGGAAAATGAAAATCTACAAAAATTTGTTTTCCTTGATGAGCAAATTTATTTTCTTTTTCGCCATCAGAAAAATCGAAATTGAAATAAACGTTATTTGATCGTTTGCAAAGGATTGGATACTTCCTGAAGATTGCGATAAGCTTCCAAAACAACATTCTTTTATTGGGGTGTAATATTAGCCTTTCAAAAAGTGTTGAATGAGAAAGGGAGCTAGAGGGGCAATCAATCTTTCATTGATATCCAATTCTTTATGTCAAACACTTATTGGTATAGTCGTCATGAATTTAACCAAATTTTAGATATTCCTATTTGAAAAAAAGAAAAAAGCAACTACCTTTTCCGCCATATTAAATTATGTTATAAAATTTCATCCTGTAATATTTGGATTACTATTACAATTCTATAATCTTTGCTCATTATGTATGAATAGCTTTTGAAAAAAAAGAAAAATGCTGAAATAATTATTTCAAATGGGAATATTTTCTAGTATGAGCTCAAACAGCAAAATAAAACACAAATTTGAGGTGCGAAACTCTCGAACCACCTTCAAAAAAAGTGCACGAAGCAGGTGTCATTTGTGATTGCTATTCGAAAGGAGGAAATCAAATAGGTATAGCATTAGGATGACGAATTGAAAAGATTTGGGTAGTTCTACTTCGTCACAACGATCCATAAATAAGTAATACGAGCTAATGCTCATTTTATGGCATTTCCTGTACCTTTTTTTATTTCACTTATTTAAATTTATAATTTTTTGCCATATTTTACTTGGCATTTTCACTATATTTGATTCAGATGATTATTTACGAGTGTCGAAAGTAACTTGTATGCCATTATCTGCATCCGCCAGCTAATTATGCTTTTATACTCCTACTTCAATCTTTATTCTCAGACAACTGCTTATGAAAATCTGGAAGGAAACAAAAAAAGAGAAAAACTTTTTTCCTAATTTAAAAAACTACCTGAAAATATAAACTAGAAAATTTTAATCAGGAAGATGTCTGATTCATCGTTTACATAGTATAAAGGGAGATAAGGTAAGAGGTGTAGTTAGTCATTAACTGGCATTTTACGATGAGCTTGATAACAATCATTGATCGAGACATAATTTATGACATGCAGCAAGTGTCTGGCAATATCAGGTGAGTTTATTTGAATTTTTCAATTAGCATTTGTTACCATCAATGGCAATAAATGCTGATTGTTGAACTTAGAATTTAGTTCATGAAACGATGAAATCATCATTTACACCACACAAGAAAATAATCATAATTGTCTACTGCATACCTTTAGTGCTTCAATTCAGAAATCATCTTGCACACTTTGCTATCAGAATGGGTCTTCGTACTTCTCGCGAACAAACCAAAAGCACAATTTTTTTCAGAGTTTGTGTGCTTTTATTAAAAAAAAAAAAATTGAAAAAAAAAGGAGCGAAAAATCAGAATTCAACAACAAAAGCAACTTATTAGCATGAAATGAATCGAACATTTCCTGCTTAATGGGTTGACAAATGAGCCATAGAAAAAGAAAAAGAAAAAAAAAAAAGCTTTGAAGATATATGTTTCATTAAAATGATGGAATGGTAGATTGGAGTATAATGATAAAAAGAAAATTTGAAAAAAAAAAAAAAAATGTTATGCTCGTCAGTTTTGCCTTCTTTATCCAAGCTGAAAGCACTCTATTTACATGTCTTGATATTTTTATTTATTTTCATTTAATTAAAAACACTTTCGTCATTCTTTTGCTGGTCTCTTTCACTTGCTACTTGATTTATAAATTGTTTGTACCACGTGCTTCACCTTTTTTCAGTTAAGCAGCAAAAATATAGCATTTCAATTTTATCAATTTACATGTAACATTTGCTTTAAACTATGCAATTTCGACTCATTTAAATTTAGCCTAATTCAGCTGAATCACTTTAATAAATAAATTTTGTTCAATTTAAATTATTGCATCTTTCCTGAACTACTGATTCAATTTGAGAAACTTTGTTAGTTTGTAATAATTGTCTTGTCTTTATCAGAATTTAGATTCTTTACTTTATGTAAATTAAAGATCCAATCACTAGTTCAGGCCATACAATAAGACACTAGAAATAAATTTATACTTAAAAAAACTTTTCTCCTTTTAGCTTGTTGATATATTTCTTGGTACAAAGCAATTACCTGCCTTAGGTACTAAATATAAGAAAATGGTGACAACTTTCTTTGTTGTTGATCATACAGCTTGTCTATTCACCTCTTAAGTGATATCCTAAAAAATCACGGATAATCAGCCAACTTTCAAGGTTAACGGCTGGTAATTCAAGTCTATGATTATCTGCTGTTATTACACTCAGGTATTACAGTAACAAAATTTTCCTCTTGTTTCTTCTTCTAAAACATTATTGAAATTGTTCATAAATGAATAGTAGTAGTTGATCTTTGAGTTTTTGAAGAGCCGCTCCTTGAGAAACCAATACTTTCTGTTCCCCTGGAAACATTATTTTAAATATTCGTCTGAAATAATGATTGCTGCTTACAGCTTTATGTTCAATGCTTTTATCCTACTATAAAAGCGACAATTAAAATGAAATTTCAGTACATAAAAAAAATTTAACCAGAAGTCCTACATCAAAAAGTGTCAAAAAAAAAAGTGCATGATTCGTTGAAAGAACAGTTTTGCGAATTAACCTGCATATGTATTGAAGGAATAATAATAATATATCATTCTGCATAACCACCAAGGTATCAATCACCTGCTACCATCACTCTATAACATTTAAATTTTACTGAAATTTTTCTGCTACTAATTATGTGCTTCTGTTTGCTGAAGAAGAGAAATTATTTAGTTTTGATTTCATGTCACTTCATTCATTGATGCTGGTTGCTCTGGAATCATTGTGATACTTCTGGTACATCTACAAACAGGTGCTTAAAACCCAATAAGTAACACTTTCAACTGGGAGTTCTCTGAACTGTGACGTTTCAGCCATTTTTGCTACCGCATGTACTCCAGAAAAGAGCAACGGTTGCATGTTTTCACCGAATCGGTCAGGAAATCGAATAAGTGTTCCTCGAAGTGATAAAACCAATCGTTTACCTTATGTACCGCAGAAACAGCTAGAACAACAAAAACATCAAAAACAACCGTATTGGGGCTCTAACAACCCATCGGGTGAAGAATCCATTGGTATTCGACTACCTCTTCTCTTAAATAAAGCAGCAAATACCAGTATCCAAAGTTCTTCTACTAGTACAATAACCAATCGGTTACTACCACCACCGCCACCACCACCACGACGTTCAGTTACCACATCCCTAAGTTTGTTTCCAGTACCCTACCAACAATTAACTCAACAAGACGTACCATCCGATCGACAACTCCCTTCTGAATTTTTACAAATTAGACTTGAAACCGTCTCGAAACCTTATTGGGCGCAGGCAAGCCTATCATTTTTTACAGAAAAAATTAATATTGATCATGGGAAATCATTTATTTAGCCCAACCGTATATTTTCATATTAAAATTTACATTGTTATTACAATCTCATATTCCAAAGAAGCTTTAATAAGATGGCCAATAATTCTAGATTCTGCTTCTTTAGATTCCTATCTTATTGTGACGTTTAAAATATGTGTTGTAAATTTAAAATTTGCTCGAGATTTGTCATAAATGAGTGCACTACCTTCATGGAAGCAAACCAGTTCGATTCAGAGCAAAAAGAAAATTTGCATGATGTGTAAATCTGCAAAACGAAATTACATCTATGAAATTCAACAACCTTTTTGAGATTCTCTTTTTTTTTAAAAAAAAAAAAAAAAAATGAGAGAGAAAGCAGTATTTTAAATAATAAATAAAAAAAAAAATAATACTGGCAAAATGGCAAATCAAAAAAGAAAACGATAAATCATCAAAAGATCACTAGTAATAATCATAATAGACATAAAAATTGAAAATAATCACAAATGATACAATATAGAGAGATAACAATGATAAATACATTGAATGAAGATAGTTATAACTGCGATATATTAGCAATAGCAATATTTACATTAATAATGATAGCAGTGATAATGATAATGATAATTAATATTGTGATTTGCAGTAATAAGTACTAATCAAATGACAAGATCATTTCAGCAGACGGCAATAGAGAAAACTCACCACTTGGATTCGATCCCTTCATATCAGGTACGTCTGTCTGTCTATCTGCGTGTATGTGTATGTGGTGTAATTTTGGTTGTGTTTGATGCATGTTTATCGGTGTCAATGAATTATGAAGCTGTCCTCATGCAAATCTTTCAAGAGTTTAGCCTCCTTCGGATTTAAGGTGTCAAAACTCTGAGTTTTGAATGAGGGTGACAATAAGAAAGGAATAATAATAATGTTTCTGGATGATTGGATGCTATTTACTTTGCATGTTTGTATGTGTGTTAGTGTTGACGTTCTTGCTTGAACGACCTTCTGTCTCCATTTGACAGAATTGTCCACTGATCCATGGCCATCTTCCAACATGGCCTTCTGATGATATTTCAGCTCCTTCTAAACATTTGCAGTTGGAACAATCACAACAAAACTTATAATATTTCGAAATGAGGCATCCTTCCATGGATCAATAAATTTTTTTGGTACAGATTATGCTTTAACGCTTGTGCTTGTTATTATTATTATTGCTATTATTATTATTATTATTATTATTATTATTATTATTATTATTAGTATTAGTATTATTATGATATGATTGGCTCACCTTTCGTATTCATTATGCATTCATGCATTTTATTTTTCTTGAAATTTTACTTTCATTTCGTTCATTCTTTTCTTTCTTAAGAAAAAAACAAAAATAAAACCACAGACTCATTATAATAAGTAGATGAAGCAGTTTAAACAGATAAGCCTGTAGCATTGCGCATTGTAAAATAAATCGTAAAAAACTGGAAAGGAAATATCAAAATATAAATAAATTTTAGAAGATATTTGATGATTTTAAAGGTTGCTGTAAATTCAATTGACAGTTTACTTAAAGAAGTTTTTTTTTTTTTTTTTCTTTTACTTTTGCTTTAATATAAACTATATTAACAAAAATTAAAACTCTGAATGAATTTTTTTTCTTTATCGGCACTCTTTTTTTTTCATTCTTTGAAACTTTTGAAAGTGACACACTTCTTAGATATATGATGCAATGATTGTTAACTACAAATTTCCTTTTGTTTTACTATCAATCAAATTTCATTACTATTGAAATTCATTAATTTTGAAAGCAAATTTTCCATTAACAAAGTGCTTCTTCATTTTCAAGAGTGAGAGAAGGATGAGTGATTCTTAAAAATAAAAATTGTAATTTTCGAATTTGGAATAATATAACTCATTGGATCCGACCATCTTTCTAAATTAATTTGACTGCGGATGACGCTCAAAGACCATAAAAGATTAAACTCTGCTCAAACATTTCAATAAATTAAACAACTTTCAACGATATTAAAAATGGAAATTTTTGGGGTTACATCCAAACCGAAGTCACTCATCATTTTGTATTCATTCCGTTAGGTGTTAAAATTAGCAATTCTTCCGGATTACATCGAAGTAATCGTCAGGTCACTAAAGCATATGTATTTTGCGACATTGCAGTAAATATTCCTTCCGGTTTCGACGATACATATGTGTTAAATATTGTTGGCCTGGCCTTTTTCTCAATGTTGTCAAAATATTGGAGGAATGAATTTTTAAACAAACATCATGTTAATTACTTAACATTTTGAGACTTTTATTTATTTATTTTTTTTTTTTGATAATTTAAACAAAGGATATTAATTTTCTCGCCTTCTTCTTCTTCGTCCAATGTTAAAACTATCTATCTTCGGACTGAACATTCCAAACGGAAAGGTGGGATCGGTGCTCCCTCCATGTTGTCCGTTGCCTTTTTTGACATCGCTCCAAAAAGTGATACACGAATCAAATCATCTAACAATTTAAATTCAACAATTTAGTATGAAAGTAAGAAATTGCACTTTTTTGATGAAATATTCGCATTATATTATATATGCAATGAAATTTCCGATTTTGACGAAGCGCAAATCAACAAATGGCTTCAAACCAACATCCGTAAATTTAATGAGAAATGCTGAACTGTATATATCTCATTATCATTATGCAATTTGCTAAAGTCCTTCATTACCTTGAATTTTTTAAACCAAATTCTTTTTTTTATTTTTATATTCCTCACAGATTTCTTCATTTCTGCATATTTCTCTTTAATGATATTAATTTCTTTGTTCTTCTAACTGATAAATACATAATAGAAAAAATTATAAAAATTTCCACATTAAATAGTGACTGGCATAAAAAAGTTGAATATAATCGAATAATTATTGTCTGAAGCATTAGAATGAGGGCAATTTTAAGTGAAGAAAGAAAATGTAAATATATCAATATCATATCATAAGTAAATTTTTTAAACTTAGGTATCTCATTCAAATCATTTCTTAGGGAAAGTACCATGGCTTCATAGGTGTAAATTTTTTTTTTTTTTTTTTTTTCTGATCATATCATATTCTTTTAGTTTCAGTTTTTTCCGATTTTTTCTGCATCAAATCAATGACTGAAATGTTTTTGGCAAATTTATCCGAACACACTTTTCTTTGCTTCCAGGAAAATTTTCACCTGAAAAGCGAAGTAATGTCTGCTTCTCTTGGCTTGTTTAAATATATGAGTTGTATTCAAACCGAAAAATATATTCAGGCTTATGTAGTTGTTATTTTAGTTAAATTGAATTGAACCAAATCTTTGAATTTGGTCCCAGACATCCCTATGAAATTATAGCGTTTTCATTGTAAATTCAATTTGTTCAATCGTTGTCCCACTTACGTCCATCCTTTGCATTGCATATGCATAGTTGCCCGAAAATTGTATGCCAAAAATTCTAGCTGATTTTCTGGGCCCAAATTTTCTTGTCTAAATATGGAGTATTGAAGATGTAACTAAATTTTGTGAGATAAATTTAGAAAAAATTTAATAACTTGTTAAGTTTGCAAATCTGAATAGTCTTCGCATTTATTGAATACAATATAAACCTGCTAAACCTTATGAATTACATATTGAACTTATTGCACAATAAATTTTTATCCAATTCAAAAAACGTTTTCTATTTTATTTCTTACATTGCATTAATCGCTGTTTCAAAAATTAAATGAAAATGTAATTTGAAAATTGCATCTTAACGTCTGCTACCATTGATACTTTCGAATTTTTAATTTTAATTAACAAAATTGAAAATTAAATTACTTTTATCATCGTTACTACTCTTTTATTAAACTAAAAATATGTGCCATATTTTAGATTTCCGTTACATAACTAACATTATTTGTAGTTTTATAATTTTTTTTTTCATTATAGATGGATATTATTTTCTTCCCTGCAGCGATTTTAAAAAATGAGTTTGAAATTTTACTTATTAAATTAGACACCTGTCAGTTGTATGTTCCTGACATCTTAAAAGTTTTTTCTGCCTTTTTTTAAAAGAAATTTTGTTTTTTTTTTAATGCTTTCGACATTTGATAGCGTCACATGACAGATGAATTTTCAAACAAGTTATAAACGTCGATATCTAATTAAACTCATTTGCCTTACTTTTTCAAATGAGGAAAATGGCTTTCTTTTTTTTTTCTGCAGATAAAATAACACTTAAGATAGTTCTAAATCATTTAAAATCATTAACAATTCAACTTATTGATAATTTTGTAAAACTTGGAATTATTTTTTTCTTTTTTTTTTTTTTTTCTTTTTTTGAAGTTACAAACCATTTTGAAATTCTTGCTAAAAAGTCTATAAATTTGATTAAATCGAGGTTAGTAAATAATCGTCCGATACACAAAGAAAAAGTTACTTTTGAAGATTGCTTCACATTGCCCATTATGAGAAAAATGTAGTTTAGAGGTAGAAGAAGAATTGCAAGTGAAAGCTTCTGAAATTATGTTAAAGAGGCTTTTTTGTGAATGATTTCTCTTTCTAATTGCTAGGAATAGGAGAACTTTTTGCTTCATTTTTGTTTGCCTAATAATTACTACCTTGTTCTTAAGTGCCTAACTGAACTTTGTCGTTTATTACCATCGCTCTTCTAACTTATTTTCTAACTTTTGCATCATTTTTAAATCATTTCTATCATTCAATTTAAGCGCTAATATTGAAACTATCCATAAGAATCATCAATTCTTAACAAGGTTTGAGTTTCGCTTTTAATTAGCTCAGTTCACCTGGTGAAATGAAATGCTCACTTTGTCTACGCTTTTTCTAACATTTTCTCAAAGTGTACGGTTGCTTCAGTTTTTGTTGTGGTATAGGTGATGCAAAAAAAAAAATGAATGGCTTCACGTAACGAGCAATAAAATTATATTAATTAACAAAGTAATTCTCTTCTTTTTCAAACTTTTTCAGGTTAAGAAGCTGTTGGACGGAACACATCAGTTGCGCATCGACGGTCATCACGTCGGAAGCGCCGGCCCTGGCGCTGGTAATTTCATCTTTAGCATTTGGAATTTATTTAAGCTTTTCACTATAGAATTGTCATTTAAACAATTTAATTATTTGAAAATGAACTTGAAGTGTTTTAAAATTTTTTGCTAACAACATACTTAAAAAGCTCACTTTTAGATGAAATAACTTGTAGCAGTTGTTTTAGTGTGTATCAGTTAATTTGAATACTACAAGGTCGCTTTTTTTTGAAGTAGTAATGATTATTAATTTCTGTAATATTTTTTTGTTGCAAAATCTCATAATGAGATAGCAGTTATTGAATTTTTATTATATTCTTGCAACCAGCACCAATAATCCTGAAAAAGATGACGGAAATTTTTCTTTCTTTCTTTGGTCATTTTTCATTTTGGAATTTTTAAAACAGTTTACGATTGTTTCCCAAGGGTCAAGTTTTTTATCGTTGTCAAAAAAAAAAATCAAAAAAAAAAGAAAAAAAAACCAAAAGGCACTTTCTTTCCTATTTGATTATTAAGTGATCATATTCTAAAGTAACGAAAGAGTTATTTCAGTCTTTAGCATGCCAAAAATTTAAATTTTGATGTACAACTCATTTTCGATTGAAATAGAAATGAAGAACAGGACAGGTTTGAATAAAGTTTATAGGAAGTGATTAAACTCACGGAAAAAGCACTTAAAAAAAATTGTAAACAATAAACACCAAATAAAAAGAAGCGAAATTAAACTTGAAAATATTATATTATCATTAGGCGAAAAAATGCTGTATTATCATGCGGTAAAGTAATTTATTTATAATAAAAAAAATTATGCAATATGAGTGTCTTTAATATAACAATTAAATGTATCTAATCTAAACACTAGGCCACGGACATAAAAAAGAATTTGGTCCAGCTATGATACTGTATTATTTGGCATCCGCTTTTCGGACGCTTTATCCACGACTCGATGATGATTTTGTTGACAAATTAAATTATTATTATACGACTACGATATGTAAGCTTTTCTCATTTATAGGAATGCTAACACTCATTTAGAAAAATTGGGAAATTTTTGTTTTTGCCTTATTTGTTAAAGCGAAATTATTGAGAGTGAAGATTTGTTCGCTAGGATATGGTGGTGATTTCTTAACAAATATTTAATGTTTAGTGATAATCCTTGGCTCCATGAATTTGACAATTAATTCGTCGAAAATTTAGTGACACAGACCATCATTTTACTTTTCATCATTGAAATTGCTTCAATTTTTTTTTTTTTTTTTTTCACTCTAAATGATTATATTTCAAAAAATTTACTATACATCATCAGTTTGTTTAGGTGTTTTCTTTATTTCAAAGTTAAAATTTAATTATATTTTAACTCTCTCAATATGAACGTATTTTATCCAAAAAACGCTTAATTTCAGTAGCATCATTTGCGCTCCTTGTTTCTGCCAAACAATATGTTGGTAAGTAAATTTGATTTCCTTTAATTTAATTTTATGCATTGCTTTTTTTTTTCTTTTCAAATGTTTTAAATCTCAAATATCAATTTTTGATCGATATTCCCTTCTTAAGGTTTTCCAATACAGTGTTGGGTTCCGGCTACTTTTACGGATGCTATGGAACAATACACAGAAAATTATTGCTGGGTGCAAAACACTTACTGGGTGCCTATGCAGGTAACTTCTAATTGTTACTTCAAAATATTAATATTAAAATTAATTTATATATTTTACATTCTTATGTGATCTACGCTAGTGCACTTTCATTCATTTGTAAATTAGATATATGTTTGTTACCTTACTTTATATTTGCCAAGTATTCTTATATTTGTTATACGTATAAACGAATCTCTCTCTCTCTTCTGTTACAGGAAGATATTCCACGCGAAATCTATTCACGAAGGAATCGCCAAATTGGTTATTATCAATGGGTACCGTTTATTCTAGCTATAGAAGCATTGCTTTTCTATGTGCCTTGTATATTGTGGAGAGGGATGTTATACTGGCACTCAGGTATATTATATTCTAAATTTAATTAATTAAATTATTGCTGTGATTTTTTTTTTTTTTTTTGAGGTAACGTTGAAATATTCAGGAATCAATTTACAAGGCCTTGTACAAATGGCATGCGATGCAAGACTTATGGATACAGATGTTAAAAGTCGTACAGTATATACAATGGCACGGCATATGGAAGATGAAGTGCAAGTAAAATAGCATTTATATATTTTTAACGAAATAAGAAATATATGTATGATAGAACTGAAATTGAATATTTCAAAAGTTACTGTTACGGAATATTGAAATTTTTATTGAAACAATTTTCTATTTGAAATAAAATTTCTAGTAAGAAAAAAGATTGACTAAACGATGGATATTTTAGCTAGCGCATCTGGAAAGACGTGGACATCCTCGAGCTTGCTTTCCGTTTGTGCAAGCAAGAGGACAGTGCGGAAGACATTGCGGATGCTATGTTACTATGTTATACATTGGTATCAAGGTTAAGTTTTTATTGTGCTCAAAAAAGTAATGAAGTTGCTAATTTATTTAAATAATTTAGGAATGACAGATAAAATAAGATGAAATGAACATGAGAAATTGAATGCATAGAAGTTTATAATATACATATTAATGAAATAATTATTCGAGATTTTACTATCGTAAAATATTCGCTCTAATCATTGGAATATAAAATATTTATAAAAGTTTGTATATTACAGTGATATTGTTAAGGATTAAGAAAAGTGAGAAGGATATAGGTTCCATGGTTTTATGATTATAATCTAATGATAAAGAATATAATTGACATAATGCATAGATATGATTAAGATAATTGTAGCTTTCTTTGCTTGAAAAATTCAATTTTCAGATATTATATTCGGCTAACGTCCTATTACAGTTCTTCCTGCTAAATCATCTATTAGGTGCAGATGATCTTACATATGGTTTTTCATTATTGCGCGATTTGATGCATGAAGTTGAGTGGGAGCAAACAGGGATGTTCCCGAGAGTAACACTTTGCGATTTTGAGGTATCTAACTGCTGTGTTATTTAATTTTCCCCCCTTTTTTTTTTTTTTTAATTGGTTTCATTTATAGTTTGTTTAAGATGAAATCAATCTCATTACAAATAGCTCGAGCTGTGAAGGTAGCAATTTTCCATACTATTTCAATAAATTTACCAAAAATTATGAAAACTAATAATGGAAAATGTTTTTGTTTCAGGTTCGAGTGCTCGGTAATATTCATCGACATACAGTGCAATGTGTGTTGATGATAAATATGTTTAATGAAAAAATTTTCCTTTTTTTATGGTTTTGGTTTTTAACCGTCGGTTTGATAACAGTTTTCAACAGCTGTTACTGGATACTTGTGATGTTCATTCCAAGTCAGGTAGGTAACTTTTTTTTTTCCTTACATGAAATCATTTTTAACGTTTTGTTTACCTTTTATTTTCTATTTTTTCGTTAAACTTTTATCCTAATATTACCGTCTTACAAATATGTTGTGATCTTTTAAAATTGAGATGAATTAATTAAGTGAAATCAAAATCTGTCTGCAACTGAAATGCAGAATTGCAGTTCATATGATTCTAAGATCTATATACTAAGCTCTATAATGAAAAGTTATTGAATATTAAGTATGGTCGACATTATGCAGCTTTGAAAATTTCTGAACAATGATTTTTTAATGTAGTAGTGCTATGCAAGTTCAGTACTAATTCTACCATTTGCCACCTTTGATATCAGTTCTGTTTTTTTATAGCAATTAGGAAATTTTAACGACTAATTTGTTTCGTCTTTCAATTATATTATAACTTCCTTATTTTCATTTTTAAATTTCAGGATCTAAAATTTCAAAAAAAAAAAAAAAACTTGAGCTTAATTTGCCTTAAGTTCTTTAATTCAATTTTATATAGGGAATGTCTTTCATTCGCAAATATTTGCGAGCGTTGAGCGATCATCCAACAAAACCTGCAGCTGATGATGTATCACTCCGAAAATTTACGAATCAATTTTTGCGTAAAGATGGTGTATTTATGCTTCGAATGATCTCAACTCATGCCGGTGAATTAATGAGCAGTGAATTAGTTCTTGCTTTATGGCAAGTAAGGGTTATATTGACAAGATAAAGTTATTTGTCAAGAACATTTCAATGGTCCTAAATCAAGTCTATTAATTAAATTTAATTTAATTTGCAAATTTTGCATTTTAGTTCATGTTTAAAGATTTCGATTTCTCACTGAAGTGATCTTATTTTGTAGAATTGATATTGTTATCAAGGAATTGTCGAAAAGCTAAACTTTCCAAGTCATATGTTCCCCTTGTGACAATTGAAAAATTTCAAGTTTCTAGCCAAAATAGTTTCAAATTATCCAAACAGTATTGGCCTTTTAAACAAATAGAAACATTCGTAAGCAGATGAATGTTAGCATTTGCAAATAATTTAGGATTTTAATAATATCGATCGTTCGTCTGCTCAATTTTGGGATGCTGAACATGGTGCTGGGACACTGAACGCTTAATTAATTTAAAGTGATCTTAAGAATGCTAAGGTTTGCTTATTTATTCGTTGTTATAATCCAGAAGACTGCGAAAAAAAAATGATCCATAAAATTTCATTATAAATTACTGTTCTCTTACACTGAAGAGAAAAGGAAGAGAGAAAGAATTGTTTATCCAGTTCTTTGTTTTTCATTTTTTCTGTTTTGGAGCTATTTCAACAAAAAAGTTTTCTCCTCAAAACAAACATTTTTGATTTTGATGATAAAAAAAAAAGCAGAAATCGTAAAATTCCCAGGAAAATTGTCTCTTTTCAACTGCTTTCGTTGTTCTTAATGATTAATAAGGTTCCCAGCGGGAATTCTCCATTTTTATTCATCTTAAACCAGAATACTTCTTTTTTTTTTTAATTTCAGCAAAACATTGTGTTTTTTCAAACTTAACAACTACTTCATCATCTTATTATCATGGTTCTTTTTTTAATTATACACTTTTTTAATCTTTGTTTTTTTTTTTTTTTTTTTTTTTTTTTTTCAATCATTTTTTTCTATCTTACTAATTCGGCTAATTAAGCTTTGTAATTTCTAACGTTGTAGAGGAATTTCATTATTCAGTTCAGGAAATCTTGAGTAATTTATTTAAATAAAATCGAATTTTTCATCGTATTCCAATTTACCGTTTTGCTTCAGGTTTATTACAAAATTTTATTTTATTTTAGCTGGCATTCTGGATCAATATTTATTTCGCTAGAATCAGTGGTACGATCAATTTATATATTCTATAACATGAGGAAAAATAACATTTCAAAAGTTTTGCTACTGCAATAATAGTTATAAACAATGTCAATAATTGATAATACTACTAATAATAATAGTAATAATAATGATGTTAATAGTAGCAGTAATAATAATAGTCAATAATAATAGTAGTAGTAGTAGTAAACAATAATAATAATAAATTAATTAATAGTAAACAATAATAAAAATAATAATAAAAACACTAATAGTTGTTCCATTACAATAACCATTGCTATTTTACAATTGCTATTATTTTTGCTAAATTTCTAACACTTTATTCAATAATTAGGTTCACTGTTGTAGTTTTTTCTGTTCATCAAAGATTGCTGTTCTTTAACAATTGCAAAAATTTTTTAAGCTCAAATTTAGCACACTGCCAGATCTCCTGTTTTGAATTGTACAGTGCTGTTCTCAATATGTAATCCTTATGATATTTAGCTTTCACTTAATTTAAAGCAAATATACAATCTAGTCTTTTGATACTGTTTAAAATGAAATTTACTGATTTGAGAACAAAAAAATCAACGATAGATAAGGTTACTCTTGATGACAGCATAAAATTTCAAGGCATTTTCTGTACTTATTTATTATCCTTCTACAAGTTAATTTCTATTAGCTTTGATGTAACTTATTTTTTCAAGATTAAATAAGCTTGCAGATACTACCCATTTAACACTGCAGTTTAAAAATAGCAATATCTTTTGGCTATCACTCTTTTAAAAATGTAATATTAGAATTTGTTTGGAATAAAAATTATCTAAATGTAAAGTAAGGTATCGAGTAATTAAACCTAGCTGAGATTAAGTTTCGAGCATATAAAACAGAAGAATGAATTGTGCTATTTATATGATAATAATAGAATTTTAAAGGGAATGCTTTTTTGTTTTTTTTTTTTTTGATGGGAGAAGTGATTTGCACTGATTTGCACAGATTAAAGTTCGATCTTGATGTCACCCTTCCTTTGCACTTCCTGTTGTATAGGACTGGGAATTAATTTGCAACAGAGAGCGTATTTTTACTAAAAATTCTTTCATACATTTCTATACCTGATGCTGTCACTTGCCTTTGATAATTCAATGTTGCATGATTCGATAAATGATCTTATGATGAACATAATCATTGCTATAAAATATTTTTAGAATATGAGTTTTTCTTTTTCTTTTTTTTTAGAAAATAACTGCAAATTTTTCTTGAACTCCTAGAAAACTCTCAGAATGCAGCAGCTTATATAGTTATTAAAATTTATTAAATGAATCTCGAGAAAACAAAGTTTCACAATTAACAAAATATTTGAAAACAAAGAAGACACAAAAAGACATTACAATCACCCGTAAAAAATTTTGCACAGCGTTCCATCATTACTATTAAATTGAACGTAAATAAAATTTATGCCCTGTAATGGTAACCATAATGACTGTGATAGCGATAATGATGATGATAATAATAATAATTTCTAAATAAATAATCGGCGAAGGATAACAAGAAAAGAATTCAATAACTAATACTAATGGAATTATTTATATATATTCAGTGTGCTTAATGTTTTTCGAGAATCTCGAGAAATGGCCTTATTATATTATTATTTCTTAATTTCGTGCTTCAGACAATGTTTAATTCATCCAGTGCAGACTTGCAACAAAATTTCAAAAAAATATATATATAGTGACCGATTTAGTACAAATTAAGAAATAAGGACATTTCAGAATACAGGAAATGGAACGATAAATTGCATTAAATAATAAAAATAATAGAAATTATTGCAAGAGACATAAAATTTTCAAAGAATAGTTAACATGCAGAATGAAACAAGCAAGTAAATGCAAAGTAAAGATATCATTTCTGTTTGGCTAATATAGGAACTATTATTTTAGAGTGATTATGAGCAAAAAGTTGGGTCAGTAGTGGCATATATTTTAATTAAAGTAATGGAATATATTTTAAACTTAAGGATTTATTATTTATGTGTCTTTTTTTCCTACAAATCGTCTTAATTCTGAATTTTATTAGTGAAGCCACAATTTAACTTTAACTTTTGATTTGAGCATATCGACTAGCAGAAAAGAATTGGAAATAACAAATTAAGGAATGAAAAATTATGTTAACATATTACCGATTCTAAACTCTGAACAATTAAATTTTATACACTTTTCCTTCAGAAACACTGCAGAAAAAATAAGGCAACGGCAAAAAATATACGAAAGAATGCACATACAACAAACTTTTTCCTTTCAAAAATTTCTTTCTTTGTGAATCACTATAATTTGTTTTAATTTACTTAAAAATGTTAAAATTCAAAAACTCGTTTTAAATAAAATAAAAAAAAGCAATATTGCAGATGGGTTACAAGCTATCATTAATTTTTCATCGCTTATTGTAAAATTAATTTCCTGAATTAAAAAAAGAGAAACAAACAGATGTATTTAAAACTTGACATAGGTAAGTAAATCGCTGAAAATTTTGAAATTTATGGAAGTGAGGCGATCATAGCATATGAAACATGAGGTTGAATACGAACTGTATATACACATATATAAATCATACTACTTAATGAAAAGGATCACCAGTAAAGTAAAGCAAATCACTTGTTGAGCTTTTCGGACAGTCACATTATTTTCTTTTCATATTTCATACAATGTTTGCAGGAAGAAAGAAATAAACAAAAGCAAAATTACTTCTGTTGTTCGGTCGATTACTTTGAGCATTTCAGTTGGTTTTGTCTTTTCATCATTGTTTTCCACACTATTTTAACACTAATTATTATTATTATTGTTGTTATTATTATTATTATTGTACTTATTAATATTATTGTTATTATTGTCCTTATTAATATTATTGTTATTAACATTAATAGCATTCTTATTATTGTTATTAATATTAATAGCATTCTTATTATTATTGTTGTTATTATTGTTATCATTATTGTTTTTATTATTAATATTATTGTTACCATTCTTACTATTATTATTATTGTTATCATTATTGTTGTTATTATTAATATTATTGTCATCATTCTTATCGTTATTATTGTTTTTTTTATTATCATTGTTATTATTATTATTATTATTGTTTTTTTTATTATCATTGTTATTATTATTATTGCTTTCATCATCCTCCCATGTCTCTTCACCGCCAACCAAAGGCATGTCCTAAAATGCAATGAACAAGGACATCGAAAGATATGTTTCACTTAAATATTTTGTATAATATCTACTCCGACTGAGCAATAATTCCACATTTTAAAAAATATTGCTCTCTTAACTTGTAATTTAAAAGTTTATTAAGCACTTTGAGCCCTCATTATGTGAACAAACTTAATTTAGAAGAAATTAGTTTGAAATTGAATTCATATATTTAAAATAGAAATTAAACAAACATTATTATGATACTCTGCCATTATGACGCCTTCAGGACCTACGGAATTTTCACGGACGCATTTATCGATGTAAACCATAACATTGTGCAATCTCCTTTCCATGGCAGGATAATGCTTATATGCTAATATTGGTGCCAAGGGATCCTTCGACATCGACCTTTAAATAAATGTGAAATGAATGAATTTGAGAAGTCTTTAATGAATTTGAGGAAAAATAGCAAAACGAAAAATTAATTTACTGATGAAGCGCTTTTGTTAGTGAGATGGGCTCACGATAGTATTTCAACAGCGTAAAGAAAGTTGAAGATCTCAGTACACAACACTGCTTTAGAGGTAACAATATATCATCGTCATCAAAATCCGTCCTGCCAAATCTGCAATAACAGAATTTGTGCACTATTTTACATTGGAATGAAAATTTTAATGCAACGTGGAAGATTTTAATATTTGAATTTTGAACTATTCAGTGAAATTTACTGAGTAAATACTTACGCTCTTCCGTTATCCAAATGAATTGCATAAGACGGAGCATTCGTAAAAATAGAAAATGCTTCATAATGATGTCGATCTTGATTGCCTATAAATCAATGTATCTTGTGCACTAATCTTTGATCTTTTCACTTTAAAATCTTACTGGCTTTTTAGAATTTTAGGTTTATTCAAGTTTATAAACTGTATCGAATCAACCAACCAATCAGATAATCCATCACGTGGAAGTCAACAAGATCAAGTAACGTTCGACCGTGAGCATAACGTTTTGCTGTTTTTACGTTTTCTTGACAATAGTCCATATTTCGTTGCCATTCAGCTATTTGGTTCTTCTTCGAATATGTTCTGTATAAAAAACACAATT